TGTAAATGACCTAAATGTTCCATCAAAAGGCATACAGTGGCAGAATGGAGGAAAAAAAAAAACCAAGACCCCTCTAAATGCTTCCTACAAGAGACTCCCTTCAAACCTAAAGAAACATACAGACTGTATGTGAAAGGACAGATAAAAATATCCTATACAAATGAAAGTGGAAAAAAGTTGGGGTACTAATATTAGATGAAACAGACTTTAAACAAAGACTGTAACAAGAGACTAAGAGGGCATTACATAATGATAAAGGGGTCAATCCATCAAGAAGGTAAAACAATTGTAAATATTTATGCACCCAACACTGGAGCACCTAAATACAGAAAGCAGGTATTAATGATATAAAGAAACTGACAAAATTACACAATAATACTAAGGGACTTTGAAACCCACTTACATCAATGGATACATGATCCAGGCAGAAAATCAACAAGGAAACCATGTTTTTGAATGATACATTAGACCAGATATATACAGAAATAAATGTATGTATAGATACAGAAATTCTATCCAAAAACAAAATACACACTCTTTTCAAATGCACATGGGACATTCTCCAGGAGAGATCACATGTTAGGCCACAAAACAAGTCTCAATAAATTTAAGAAGACTGGAATCATATCATGCATTTTTTCTGACCATGATGGTATAAAACTATAAATCGGTAACAAGAAAAAAACTGAAAAAAAAAAAAAAAATCACGTGGAGGCCAAACAACATGGTACTAAACAACCAATGGGTCAATAAAAAAATCCAAGAAGAAATTAAAAAATACATGGAGACAAATGAAAATGAAAACACAAAGGGCCAAAATATTTGATATGCAGCAAAAGCAGTTTCCTAGCAAAAGCAGGGAAATTTATGATACAGACCTACCTCAAGAAACGAAAATCTCAAACAACCTAACATTACACCTATAGGAACCAGAAAAAGAACAAAGAAAACCCAAATTTAGTAGAAGCACATAATAAAGATCACCTCAGAAATAAATGAAAAGACTAAAAAAAAAGGAAAAAAGTCAATGAAACCAAGAGCAGGTTCTTTGAGAAAATATATAAAATTGATAAACTTTTAGTCAAAGTCATCAAGAAAGAAAGAGAAGTAACAACCAACTACAGAAATACAAAGGATTGTAAGAGACTACTACAAAAAATTATATGCTGACAAATTGGACAACCTATAAGAAAAGGATAAATTCTTAGAAATATATAATCTTCTAAAACTGAATCAGGAAGAAACAGAAAATCTGAACAGATCAATTACTAGTAACAATGGAATTGGTAATCAACTCCCAACAAACCAAAAGTCCAGTACCAAATGGCTTCACAGGTGAATTCTACCAAACATTTAAAAAATATCTATTCTGAATCAACTGTATTAACCTATTACAAAAACAGGAGAGGAAGGAAAGCTTCCAGATACATTCTACAAGGTCAGCATTATCTTCCTACCCAAACCAAAGTCCCTACAAAAAAACTCCTATAGGCCAACATCTCTGATGAACTTAGATGCAAAAATCAACAAAATATTAGCAAACCATATTCAACAATACATTAAAAAGATCATTCACCATGGTCACATGGGATCCATTCCAGGGATCCAAAGGTGGTTCAATATTCACAAATCAATAAATACATCCCATTAACAAAATGAAAGATAAAAACCATATTACCATCTCAAAAGATGCAGCAAAAGCATTTGACAAAATTCAACATCTGTTCACAATGAAAACCTTCAAAGTAGGCTTAGAGGGAACACATCTCAACATAATAAAGGCCACATATGAAAAACCCACAGCTAACATCATACTCAATGGGGAGAAACTTTTTCCGTAAGATCAGGATATCCTCTCTCACTACCTTTATTCAATATAGTACTGCAAGTACTAGCGACAGCAATCAGACAAGAAAAAGGAATAAAAGGCATGCAAATTGGTAAGGAAGAAGTTAAACTGTCATTATTTGTACAATGTATTTCTATACATAGAAAATCCTAAAGACTCCACTGAAAAATTACCAGAAGTAATAAAGCCGCAGAATACAAAATTAGTACACATAAATTGGTTGCAATTCTGTACAATAATAATGAAGTAGCAGAAAAAGAAATGAAGAAAATCCCATTTACAATTGCACCAAAAATAATAAAATACCTAGGAATAAACTTAATGAAGATGAAAATATGTACTCTGAAAACTATGAGACACTGATGAAAGAAATTGAAGACACAAACAAATGGAAAGATTTTCCAAGCTCATGAATTGGACGAATTGGCATCCTTAAAATGTTCACACTACCCAAAGCAATCGACAGGTTCCATAAAATCCCTATCAATGTACCAAGAGCATTTTTCACAGAGAGAGTACAACCAATCCTAAAATTTGGTGGAGCCAGAAAAGACCCCGAATAGCCAGAGGAATATTGAAAAAGAAAAGCAAAGCTGGTGGCATCACAATTCCAGACTTCAAGTTCTATCACAAAGCTGTCATCATCAAGACAGTATGGTATTGGCACAAAAACAGATCAATGGAACAGAACTGAGAAACCCACACTCACATCGTCAATTAATCTGTGACAAAGGAGGCAAGAACACACAATTGGGAGAAGACAGTCTCTTCAATCCACGGTGCTGAGAAAACTGGAGAGCTGTATGAAAATTAATGAAACTGGACTGCTTTCTTGCACCACATACAAAAAATGAACTCAAAATGGATTAAAGACCTAAATTTGAGACCCGAAACCATAAAACTCCATAAAAAAACACAGGCAGTAATCTCTTTGATATTGGTTTTACCAACATATTTCTAGCCATGTCTTCTGTGGCAAGGGAAACCAAAGCAAAAATAACCCTACTAAAACTAGACTAAAATAAAAAGCTTCTGCACAGTGAAGGAAACCTTCAATACAACACCAAAATAACCCCAACCAACTGAATGGGAGTTGATTTTCACAAATGATCTATTTGATAAGGGTTTAATATCCAAAAATATATGAAGAACTTATACAACTCAACACTAAAAACACAGATCATCTGAATAAAAACGGACAGAGGACCTGAATAGACATCTTCCCAAAGAAGACATATAGGTGGCCAATGGGTACATTAAAAAGATGTTCAACATCACTAATCATCAGGGAAATGCAAATTAAAACCACATGGAGGTATCACCTGACGCCTGTCAGAATGGGTACAAAAAACACAAACAACAGGTGTTGGTGAGGATGTGGAGAAAAAGGAACCCTCGTGCACTGTTGGCAGGTCTACAGACCGATGTAGCCACTGTGGAAACAGTCGAGAAATTCCTCAAAAAATTAAAAATAGAATTACCATATGATCCAGTAATTCTACTACCCAGCAAAAATGAAAACATTAATGTGAAAAGATATATGCACCCCTGTGCATGTAGTTACAGTATTATTTCCAATAGCCAAGATACAGAAGCAGCCTAAGTGTCCACCAACAGATGATACGGAACAATGTGGTATATGTATATATATGTGGATGTACACACACACACACACACACACACAGGAATGTTACATAGCCATAAAGAAGAGATCATGCCCCAAGACAACATGGATGGACCTACCTAGAGACTATAATGCTAAGTGAAATAAATGAGAGGACAAATACCGTATGATTTCACTTACTTGGAATCTAAAAAACAAAACAAATGAATAAACAGACCCGTAAATGCCAAAAACGGATAGCTGTCAGAGGGGAAGGCGCTGGGGAGATGGGCGAAATGAGGAAAGGAGAGTGGGAGATACGGGCTTCCGGCTGTGGAAGGAATCCAGTCCAGGGATGATGCAGGTACAGCACAGGGAACAGAGTCACTGATACTGTGTGGTGACAGATGGAAGCCACCCTTGTGGTGGGCACAACATAACACATGGACTTGTTGAATCACTATGTTGTATACCTGCAACTAATGTAACTCTGTGGGTCAGCTACATTTCAATTAAAGAAAAGGGCCAAGAGAGTAAATATTTTAGGTTTTGTGGGCCATTCAGTGGGTCACAACTTCTCCCCTGTGTGTTAAAGCACACAGTCAGTGTGTAAATGAATAGGTGTGTCTGTTTCAATAAAACTTTATAAAAACAGGGAGCAAGCCATAGTTTGCCACTCCTAATCTAGACTCCAGTCCCTATGGGTGGATGTACGTGTTGTCTCCTGCCTTCTGGAACAGTGGCTGCGACTCGCTTGTGTCAGAGTGGCCTGGTGGGGGTCTATTTTGTTACCAGTCAACAAGTATTTCTCAGAATGGTTGTGTGTCCTATCCAGTCATTGAGGATTTCACAGTCCAGCTGGGTAGACAAGATGTGTTGATAAGGAGTTTTTATAAGAAGTAAATAATGCAAAGGCATCTGAGTGCTGATGCAGGTGCTATGGATTCTAAGTGCTACAGGAAGAGTGTAAGGGTCGGGGCTGTCCTGAAGGACGACAGGGCTGTATCAGGCCATGCAGCGCCCTCCCCAAAATAAATATTTCCTACCACTCACCATGTATCCAGCATCATGCGAAAATGTCATACATGGGTCTGTTGTAGCCTATAAAACAATCACGTGAGTTTGGTCCCAAAGTCCTGAGAAATTAAGTGACTTGATGATAGTTCTGCAGATGCAAAGTATCAAAACTGGGATGTGATTTCAGAGCATGGGCTCTTGACACAAAACCGTGTTCTCTGTCCCTACAGAGGCAAGAGCAGCGTGTGAACAAAAGAGGAAACTATAATGGCTGATACACCATTGTTTAAAGCTGTGGGGCTGGTCCATCCTCTGATACGCGCATTTTCAAACACGGAAGTTGTTTTCCTTTGCTGTCACTTACAGCATTGTCAGGGGAGTGAAACATTTCAGGTCGTTCAAGAGCAGGGCGGACAGTCATTGGTACTTCATCAATCACACAGGCAGGCTTCGCAGGCGGAGGGGGCAATGACGGGCTGCACTGCCAAACATATCCCCGGCTACCGGGCTGGCTGAACAGTGCTGACTTACCATCATACTCTGGGAAGTAGTCAACTAGGTGGGAATACATAATTTTCTCCTCTAGAAGATCTTTCTTGTTTAAGAATAGGATAACCGAGGAGTTCTGGAACCAGGGATATGTGATAATTGTTCTAAAGAGTGCTTTGCTTTCCTCCATTCGGTTCTGGAAAAAAAAAAAAATCAGAAAAACAAGGCATGAATTACATGATTACTCCATCTGTGTATTGTTTGTTTTGGAAGTGCAACCCATCTTCTGCAGGCTTTCCAACTGTAGTTGCTTTTATCAGGGTTACATGCAAAGGGTTCGTGACACCCAACGGCTCTTTCAATAAGTAAGCTCTCAGCCTGATGAGCAGGTGACCAGCTCTCCTTCCCACAAACACCCTCACGGCTAGGTCATTCCCACCCCCAGGTCAGGAAAAGGCAGCAGATTTGGGAGAGTCCTCCTTTGCCTGGGGATACAAAAGCGTGGGTGCACGGGGACACATCTTCCTGGCCACACAGATAATACTTTCCAGCCCCCTGATTGAGGGCTACGTGCGATGACCAAGATTCCAGCAGTGAAAACAATGCCTGGGATTCAGCCCACCTCCACTGCTCCCCGGGGGGAGCCTGATAGTTTAAGCTACAGCATCCTATTCCCATGGCACCTGGCTTGGTTCAGGGCAGGGCTCCACATCCAGGCCCCACCATCACTTGGAACAACTCATCTCTGGTTTATGGTCATCAGTTTAGCCAAGTAGTTCACCTGGTCCCACCAACCCCAGGACTTGTGCTGGGAATTCTGGAAGAGAGAACCTTGATTTCGTGCAGAATGCGGATGAGGACTCATGTAGCCTAGGACTTCTGGCAACAGTCTTGAAACAGAAAAACCAGGCCCTGCTCGCCTGCTTTTAACTACTTGGTCAAACTATGCCTGAACTTGGTTCTGCTCCTGGATTTTCAGCAACATCAGGCAATAAGTATCCTTGAGTTTTGACGTTAGTTTGAGCTGTGTCTTTCTGCTTGTTACATAAAATACTTGCAAGGGATATATCTGGATATATCTCCCCTCCCAAACTTCTAAAGGGAAATGAATGAATAAATGATATTTCAGGGATGACCATGAACACTAGGAACTCAAGCTGTTAATGTTTTCCACTCAGAGTCTGCTTTTTTTTTTTTTTAAAGATTTTATTTATTGGGCGCCTGGGTGGCTCAGTTGGTTAAGTGACTGCCTTCGGCTCAGGTCATGATCCTGGAGTCCCGGGATCGAGTCCCGCATCGGGCTCCCTGCTCAGCAGGGAGCCTGCTTCTCCCTCTGACCCTCTTCCCTCTCGTGCTCTCTATCTCTCATTCTCTCTCTCTCAAATAAATAAATAAAATCTTTAAAAAAAAAAAAAAAGATTTTATTTATGTATTCATGAGAGACAGAGAGAGAGAGGCAGAGGGAGGAGCAGGCTCCCAAGGAGCAGGGAGCCCGATGTGGGACTCGATCCCAGGACCCTGGGATCATGACCTGAGCCGAAGGCAGACGCCCAACCATCTGAGCCACCCAGGCGCCCCAGAGTCTGCCTTCTTGATACAGAAGGTTCCCTATGTTTCATAGCACAGGGTTACGAAGGCCAAGCGCACTCTCCTGCATAACCCTTTGACTGCAGTTCCAGGAAATCTCCAGGAAACTCCATTCACCAAGGAAAATTTTCTAGGTCCTAAATGTGTCTTGTTCTTTCCTTCTGTAATGTGTGCCAATTCAAATCAGGTTGACGAGACCCACTTTGCAAAAAGAGATCTTTCCCACGTCTTGTAAAGTGGACGATCACCAATGTCTTCAACCTTTAAAACTTCCTGCCTGTAACTGCTTAGATATTTAAATAGTAATGCGCTGTGGGAGTCAAACAGGGAAAGGTGACTTCATGGCTCAAGGGACAATGTTTATTTCACTGCATACATTTCTAATATAAATGACATGCATGGCTTTAACAGTACCTGTCTATATGCTGCTTACTGGTTATCATCACCAGTGGTAACATTTTAACCCCCAGAAACAATATTCGTTAAGAAGTCATGTCTCAGAGCTTATGATTTTATAAGTTGAAAATTTCAGGACTGAGGAACAGCAAAGGCCCTAATAAGAACTGAAAGCATTTTAAAAGAATCTAAAGAAGGTTAAATTAAATAGTGACATCCCTGATGGGAGAGTTAACATTTTTTTTTTTCTTATGGCTAAAGAAATTCTAGAAAGGCATACCATGGTCTTCAAAGAAGACCTGTTTAAAAGGTGGGTATGGACACACTGTATGAACCAGTGAGTCTCCGTTAGAAACAGTTATTATACTTCGCATTCTCCAGAAGGGATGTGATGGGACCCCCCAGGTACAGGGTTCTCTTTGGGATTTTTCTGGCTGGAGTCCTTCAAAGGTACGGGTCTAGACCCTGCGAGGAGACAGGAAAAGGGAGAGTGGTGCTGAGTTCATAGAAAAGGAGGCTCTCGAGATCTAAGAATTTCAAGACTGGACTGGATGGAACTCCCAGGCTCCAGGTGGAGTCGGCTGGGGGGGACCTCGTACCCGCCTGCAGGACGGTGGCCAGGAGAGTGGACTGAACCCAGCACCATGCTCCAGGGATGACTTGCCCAGCGGGTTGTGCCTCTGCGCCCAGTGCGGCTGCGCTCAGGGCCACTCTGGAAGCAGGACCGCTGACTGGACTGGTCCCATTGAAGCTTTGCCTGTGCGTGCCACTGGGGGCCGCTCTTTGCTATTTACCATTTACCACAGCGTGCATGCGTGCGTGCAGGTATACGTACGTACACGTACGTATGTACATGTGTACCGGAACTGGGGCTTCTGATTCCAGGACAAGCTGGAGAGCAACCAAGTGGGCAGCTGACCAGCAGGGCCCGTATCACTGTACCTTTGACTAGGTCTGCAAGCTCCATCTCAGCCTGGGCCCCGGGAACTGTGTTTTCACTAGCCCTCCGGGTGATCCATCTGCAGGCTCAACTTTGTGAAGCACGGGGCTCCAGAAGGGCCCCTCCGACGTTGTCATAACACCAATCGGGGGACCCTGTTAAGACGTGGATTCGGATTCAGCGGGGGGTGGGGCCCGAGAGTCTGCATTTCTAGTGAGCCTGCAGGCGGGGCTGTTGTGGCTGCACAGGGCACACCCGGAGTTGGGAGGTGAAGAAAGCTCGCCAAGGCAGGACAAGGACAGACTCCATTTTTGCAATAGAAGTGCAGGTCCTGTGATGAAAACCTAAACATGCCTCCCTCATTCTTTTTATTTTGCCCAATTAAGATCCTGACTTCCTGCTCTGAGTATTTACTCCACAGTGAAAATTCCTTATGGGCCATTCATCCCCCCCCTGCCCCGTCCACCCCGTGCCATGGGGGCATATTTATAAACCCATAGGCTACACATCAAAGCCCCTGGATTAAATCCTAAATGAACGAAATGAGATTTTTCACGACCCCTCACAAGGTGGTGGAGCATGAGGCACAATCCACATTGCTCAGGAAAATTGCAATCTGTGAGGTAACAGCATGCCCTAGAAGTTTTGGTGGCACTTGCTTTTTAGGAACTTGCCAGGGCATGGGATTTCAAGGAGGAAACAAAACAGCGGTGCAGGAGACATGTGGAAGACTGATAAGGAGAAACAAGGAGGTTCTGTTCACCTCTCCAGACAGGTTTAAAGGCAGTCGTGGGGGGGGGGGGCGGTGCTCATCACACCCATCTTCTCTTGGGGTTTGAAGCAGCTGCGTCAAAAATGATACTAGTAGGGCGCCTGGGTGGCTCAGTTGGTTAAGCGACTGCCTTCGGCTCAGGTCATGATCCTGGAGTCCCACATCGGGCTCCCTGCTCAGCGGGGAGTCTGCTTCTCCCTCTGACCCTCTTCCCTCTCGTGCTTTCTCTCTCTCATTCTCTCTCTCTCAAATAAATAAAAAAATAAAATCTTTAAAAAAAAAAAAATGATACTAGTAAAGGTTTTACTACCCCAGACACAGCTCCTCGTGAATGAGGTGGGCCTGGCCTCTGTCGAAGACGGAAAAAGACTCTTGACTTCTTGTCACGCCCACCTACTTCTCCCAAACTGAAAGCAAGTGTCTTTCCCAATGAAGGGTGACCTGATAGAGGTGACAAAGCTGGGACAGAGGAAGCAGAGATGGGGCTGCCAGGTCCTGCCTGGCCTCCGCAGCCCCACAGGGACGGGAAGAGGACTGAGGATAAGCCACGAGGGAGCTCGGTGGCCAGTGGGTCTCGTGTAGTCACCCTGCCTGAAGTAAATGTGGCCACAGAAATGTCAGTCTTGCCTAGACCACACTTGATATAGGCTGAATGTGTTTCTCCAAAATTCGTGTTGAAACCCTAACCCCTGAAGTGATGGGTTTAGGAGGTGGGACCTTCAGGAGTTGATTAGGTCATAAGAATAGAACCCTCGAGAATGGGATTAGTGCCCTTAGGAAAGTAAAATCCTGGGACACCTGGGTGGCTCAGTTGGTTAAGTGTCTGCCTTCGGCTCAGGTCATGATCCCAGAATCCTGGGATTGAGTCCGGCATTGGGGGGGGGGGTCCCTGCTCAGCGGGGAGCCTGCTTCTCCCTCTGTCTCTGCCCCTCCCCCTGCTTGTGCTCGCTCACTTTCTTGTTCTGACAAATAAATAAAATCTTAAAAAAAAAATTAAAATCCTAAGTCCCGATGTGATGATGTTAGGAGGTGGGGCCCACAGGAGGTGACTAGGATCAGTGCCCCTATAAGATGCCAGACAGCTCCCTCACCCCCTCTTGCCCTGTGAGGACACAGAGAGAAGCCAGTCCTCTAATAACCAGGAAGGAGGCCCTCACCACACATCGAAACTGCTCACGCCTTGATCTTGGACTTCCCAGCCTCCAGAACTATGAGAAATGTTTTGTGTTTATAAGCCATCCACCTGTGGTGTTTTGTTACAGGAGCCCAAAAGGACTAAGACGACGCTGATCAGGTGAGTTACGCCTCCCGGAAGCTGGCACCGATCCAGGGATCACACCCTAAACTGAAAAGCATTCACCCCTACCCAGGGCCTTGGGAGAAGGACCAGCTCCCTCCTCCCCACTTTGTAATCACAGGCAGAACGCTGTGACCACGGAGTGTCCTCCCCTGTTCAAACCATCAGTGAGGTCTCTTACACACCTCATCTTCAAATATTTCA